TTAAAATGAGTGTTATGAGAAATACGAGGAAATAGTCCTCAAAGTGTGTTTTGAAAATAATTATGTTGGATTTTACTCATTTTGTAAAGAGAATTTCAATAATTTTATGTGGAAATTATGACTTTTTTTAAACTTCAGAAATAAACGTAAGTCACTGCAATAGATAAGGCATTTTTTTATTTTATTTTTTACTGTTGGACACATTTTTTTAATGCTTTTAAAAAGTTGAACTTTGTCCAATCGTTTAAAGTACCGTTTTTGTTCGAGACAAAACTAATGGAACTACCTGTTTGAATTGTCAACACTGCTTGGGAAACTACACAATGCACATTACATTTTAAACATTCCAAGAATGCATGTATTCTGAAACATTTCAACAAATATTTGCTATGATAAAAAACAACCAAGAAATACAAATACAACCCCCCCCCCCTCCCCGAAAAAAAAATAACAAAACAAAGCAAAAAGGTATGCAAACGTAGATATTCAAATATTTGAAGACGTATTTCACAATGCCTGGAAGACCACTTTTGCAATATTTATCAATGTTATCTAATGAACGGAATGTTTGAAATGCACACAAGTAGATAACGCTACGTATTGATATCTCCTAAGTTTCTACTGTCACATGTACGCAAGTCTGCAACTATGGTTTTTATGTAAATCTTATTTCATATTTATGACATTTTACGTTCAATAAAAAAAAAAAAAATCAAAAAAAAGTAAAAAGATAATGACAAGAAATGCAAAGTCAATCACGTCTTTTGGGAAGATTAAAAAAAAAAAAATTAAATCTAAATAAAAAAAAAGTATCAACAACTTCAACCCTTCTATGCAAACAGACATTCTGTGCCAAGTTGTTCTTACAGTCAAAAATCAATCAAGTGACTGTTTTCAACCCTTTAAGAATTCCCAGCCCACATAAAGCAGGATTGACTGGCTGGGACTGCTTAAGTAACTTGATACAGCTATGCTTTGACTCCGGGTGAGTGATAAAACAGCTGTGACCACAACTTGCCTGCTTTGTCTGTTGACCCAGTTTGACTAGTCACAGTGCTTTGCTTGACATATGATCTGACTGCTGGTGACTAGCCTGTATTAAAAGTATAGCAGGGGAAGTGGATGGACATTTTGACTGTCCGTGACTGTTTAAATAGCAGGAGGGTTAATGGCTAATTCAAGAAAACACATCAATTATTCAGTGTACGACTCGATCACATACAGCAGATCACAATGCTTTTAAGTAAAGGGCAAGTAAATTACTATCAAAAGTATGCACTTTGAAACTAATCTTTCCATTGTGAAAACATTTTTTTAGTAACTATGGTACGATCTATAGTACTGAATCTTTCACCTTAGCACATGTATGTAATTTTGCATAACTTTGTACATCATTTTAATATTTTCTTATCAAAATATGCTGCACATTGTAAATGCACAAAATGTTTCTTTAATGTATTCTCTAACCTAAATTGTTTTGACATGATTATCTACTTACTGTTAACGTTCTAATTTTTACAAAATGCACATTTAATTTTCATAAATTTTGGCTGGAACAGTGTCTAATTGTTTCATACCTACAAAAGTCACACTTTTTAAGTTATTTAATAACACACAATCCTTGGGGAAAAATCTATATATTGGCAAAATCAGATATAAATGACCATTTTAACCTGTCATTTCAGCACGTTATTTCAGCAAACCTTTAAAAGGAAAGAGAGGCAAGACGTTAACCCAAACTCCCTAGGAACCATCCTCAATCCTCCAAAATTCTCAAAAAGTGTGCAGTTATGTTCAAATGAAGGATACCAGTGCCTCAATCCTTCAAAATCGTCACAGACAGTCCTGCATTAAAAATGCATTCATCCTCAATCCTCCAAAATCCCCCCAAATCCTCCAAAATCCTCCAAAACTGCTTTGAGTCTTTTGGAGGATTGAGGTGGGTTAGGGTTAAGAAAACTAAGGCCAAAAAATAAGTCTCTGGTTTCTGGTATGGAGCTTGCCCAAAAAGTGGTGCGGCGACGCGGCTTTTTTTCTTCTTTTTTTTTTACCTGATTTTTTTGCTTCAAAAGTCAGCTGATGACTGCAAATGGTGCCCAACTAAACTTAGCGCAAATATAATGGGAGTCCAGAGAGGCCACAGAAAGCTTATTCTCGATCATAACCCCATCTAAAAACACGTTAAAATTGTGCAGCAACATGATTCCAGTCAAACCAGTGAGTTTGGCGGTTTTGGGACATCATCTTTCATTGAAAAAAAAACCTTTTACATATTGCCGACGCGCATGGCTACGGCGAAGCGCGCGCATACCAGAAACCGGAGACTTTTTTGGGGGGGGGGGGGCCTAACCTAATGTATATATTTTTTTCAAATATACATGTATACACACTACGGACTATCAAAAAATGACTTGAGAACCAATCAACCAATTTCCAGTGGAAAAATTTACAAAATTTCAAATATACAATATTATTGCCATAATTTGCTATAATTTTAAACCACCATGTGGCTTGCGTATAGACGAATCCAAACATATGATTACTGTACGCTTTAAGGCCCCCTTCAATGGAGAAACCATTGTGCACGCTATTGTACAAAGCAACTGCCTGTGATGGATTATCTGAACAATAGCTAGCACAATGCTTTCGCCATTGAAGGGGGCCTGCGTGATAGCATTTTTAGCGTGCCAGGATCGGTTTATATATGAATTACTGGTTTATTGTGCAAGACGGAAGTTTGTAAATTCCAGACGCAAAACGTGTCTTACAATATACAGTTATTGGGTTGCTGCTATATCAGATTAAAGATGGACCATTTGTCATTTGTGCATTTTTTTTTCATTCGAAGCCAAAAAAGTGCTTAAAATCCAAAGGTGGTTGCTTAACAACTAAAAAAAAACCAAAAACCCAATTCCAAAAATCAAATCTCAGAAATCGCTGTTGAGATTGTTCATGAAGTTCGGCACGATAATATTGCCGTATCGGTGCGTCGATACAGCAAGATGTGTCTACAGTGAGCTTTACGGCTTTACGGTGTAGACTGCAACTTTCGTGCGTGTCATTAATGTGAAAATACATTTTGTTTCCTCCCTGTAGCCTGGCTTTCATTCTTGAAAAATTCCCCCCAAATGACATTCAAAATCTTTCTTTTTCATTGTCTGAGAAGTTACCAAGTAATTTGTAAAGTTGGTTACGGGTATCCGACCCCATAATCCGGAACCGGTTCCTGACATCAACAATCGGGTACTCAGGTACCCGGTCCCGATGCACAGCCCTTAAAAATTAAAATAACGAATATCCTCAGAGACACCAGCAAGCATACCGTCTACATGTACATACACGATGTACCATTTCTCAATTAGGTTTATGTACCCCCTCCCCCCCCCCCACCGAAAACTTGGAAATGTCACTGGATGCAAGATATCACTCAGATCCAATCGGCAACATGTTCTCCCACAAATTTAAACAGGAAGGGCGAGACTAGACGAAAAACCCTGGGGTTTTCACCCCCGAAAATGCCACCATTTGGTCCAAATCATGAGCACATACTCTCAATAGGGCCACAAGTCACATTTGAACATTCACACATTTTGCAAAGCATTCTACGTCTGTCCTTATTGCAACCATAAAAATCACTATTCCTTTGCTGTCGAAATGTCTACTGTTAGAATCTGGTCTCGGCGACAAGAAAAAAAGAAAAACCTTTGAATAATCAATTTCTTTTCTATCAGCCTAGCATTCCGTAAAGGTGACTGTATGTTGTATCTTTAAAGTTTCACCCTGAAAAATATCTTTAACAAAAAAAATAAATTGCGCCCAAACCTCCAGATTGATTGTAGTATTTGAAGGCTAGGGTTAACTTAACTTTGGGGTAGTTTAGGGGCGTGTTTCTACAGGGGTTGCAAAAAGAAGGAAACCCACTTTTGACAGGAATTTTAACCTACTTACTTAACTTATTTGAAACATTTTTTTTGTCTTCAAATCAAGCTCCGGAACTCAGTCAAGCGGGTGGAATAAAGCCGTCCATGGACAAACAGGTATGGCACGTGAAATTTTGAACTACCATACCGAGACATACCGAGTTTTTGGGACCGGGTACCCATTACCAAAAATGGTCAGGTTATTGAAGTAACTGCTCAAATTGCCCCTAAAATGCTAAAATGTGAAGTATATATAAACTACCCACACCGAGACAAAATATGCATTTGCGATCATTTTTTCGTCGATTATGTTTAAAGATCAATATTTGAATACCATTAAATTGAATTTTTGAAATATTCTAAACACGTAGGTGAAAATTGCTGTCAAAAGTGTGTTTCCTTCTTTTTGTACCACCCTGTATGGGTAAGTTTTGGGGATCAGGTACCCATTGCCAAAAATGGTTGGGTAACCAGAAACTGAAGTACATGTAATTGCAAGTGGGTGTTTTCTCATTCAGCTCAAATTGCCCCTAAGATGCCAAAATGGGAAGTCAATATTCCGAGCAATAAGTGAAGTTAAAACCCTGCAGGTCAGTTTCAATTGAAGGAATATAAAGTGTTAAAGAGGTTGTGGAATGCTCGAAAACATTTCCGTCATTTTTTGGGTATATGTAGCCTAAGGTGTGATGAAATAAAAACGACTATTGTTTCTGTCATGAAATGTGTACAAAGGGTACTTTTGAGAGCTATTTTTCAGGTCCCGTTTCGACCCGAACGTGCAATTTGTGTAAAAGTCGTCGTTGCGGGCAGCAAACAAAACACAGTAAATCGTGACGTAATAAACAGGACTCGTTTATGCTACTCTGCATCGGGAGTCCTGTTTATTACGTCGCGATTTACTGTGTTTTGTTTGCTGCCCGCAACGACGACTTTTACACAAATTGCACTTTCGGGTCGAAACAGGCATGACAGGACTTGATAAACAGCTCTCAAAAGTACCTTTTGTACTCATTTTATGACAGAAACAATAGTCGTTTATATTTCATCACACCTTAGGCTACAAATACCCGAAGAATGAAGGAAATGTCTTCGAGCATTCCACAACCTCTTTAAAGTGTCTTACAGAGAGTCACTGCACACAGGAAAACAATGGAGAGCGGTGACATGTGACCGAATCTGCCTACTTGCGTCTGTAGCTGCAACGAAATAATCAAATGACGAAACTTGGTATGCCTATTATCAGTTTGGCATCAGGTACTTTAGAGAAGTGTATTTCGTCGTGTTTATGCATCAAGATCTTACATCTCCTAAAATGGGCCGTACGTGAAACGCGAGTCTCAGAATGTCAAAAAGTCGTGTCGAAGTACACACAAAGTCAATGGACGTCGAGATGCGACCGTGTTGCACGGAGCGTATTCGCGGGAGATTCAAATTTGCTGCAAAGGGGAGATATGACCTTGTTGCACTAAAGCGACGATTGGTCCTTTCTCAAGATATTTTTTGGCATGGGAGCTCACCAATCGTTGTCCTTGTACTACAGCATGGCCGACGTTTCAGCAGGTCCCTCCCGAGGACTTTCCCTGGTCTCTTCCGCCCCCTCTTGACTCCCCTGAGACTCCTCCCCTTCGGGGGAGACGATTTTAACCTCGGGGATGGGGTGGTCCACTGCGCTGTCGGACGTGGGCGATTTCTCCAACAGCCTGGGTCCGCCCAGAGCGATTAGGATGGCACCGATTGGGGCCGTCAGGATGATTGACAGCACGGCTAAAGTCAACACCTGCAAAATTTGGAATCAATTATCCGGATGGTGATGGGAGGAATGTTGAAAATAAGTCAACGCCACATGTATGTGCATAACAAGATTTGACAATTTGTAACGCAGCAGATAAATGCACACAAGTCTACTGGGGACGTGGTAACCGAATCTGTAACATTTAGCGCATTCTAATTGTATAGCAAAGGAATCTGACAAAAATCTGTAGTGCTGATTTCTGTTTAGAGAGCATAGTTGTTTCCTATTTCAGTCTGTACTTCTTATTACATTCACATCAAAATTTATGACTACCAGCAAATATAATTGTATAATTTGGACATTAATTTGCCATGGAAATCTGACGTATTTTAGGGCAAGAAAAAAAAATTGGGTTTGCCACCCTACCTAGAAACTTCTGCAAAACCTTAATTTTGTTATAAAAAATGAAAAGATAAAAAATTTGCAGGCTACCCCACCCTACTTTTTGCAGACATCCTGCGTTTTAAAAATTCCTTTCATTTTTTTTACAGCATTTTACCCACCCAAACTGTAACAGGAAACACGCTTTTTTTCTTGCCTTTATAAATCTCTCTCTCCTCATTGTGATACAAAATTCATATTAGCCAGTACAGGTTGGACAAATAATGAATATGGATTGGATTTCTAAAAAGAAGAACTCCAAAAGTGCATATGTTCCTTACGCAACCTGTTGTTCGGTGTACTTTTCAGCTTAGCAATGCTTGATTGAAGCAATATGTTACACCGTTATGGCTAAAATGAACAGGTGGATGCACTGTGACGGTTCAAGCGCGAAATTGATCTCAGAATTGTGCACGTTCAGACGTGAAGATGTGTATGCAGCAACGGACGAGCTGTCAGTGCAATAACCCCAACTGTTTTTTTGCCAAAGTTGAAATATGTTTTTTCCCTATCTTGCAGACAAATCCCAACCCCCCCCCAACACACAAAAAGCTTTCTGAAACTACTACATAGGTTTTTTTTATGTTTAACCCAAACTAGCTAGGAACCTAGTCTGAGAATCAAACATTCACGTGGGCAGAGCCACGGTCAAACGTCTGATATATCCTAACAGGCAAATTTTATGCTACCTCGCGCCCAAGCCAATCGGAGTCGACTCTAGAAACTGTGACGTCATTTTGATCAGAAATTTGGCCTCAGCTGTTGATTGGTCAATTTGGATGCCATGTTTTTGTAGTACAATGGTTACCGAAGACCCGATATAGAAGGCGCCCGCTGAATGGTCAGAATCTCGAGGTCAAGACGCAGTCTTGTTTTGCATAATTCGGGCGATTCACAATGCAGTGCACCACCAAGAGTTTGCCACGGAGAGTTCATTTTTCACAGTGCATTGTGGGAGATGGTTGACAAATTCGCAGCGCGGGACATTTGAAATTGTTAGTTTTTTCCGGTCAGTAGTTTTGTAAGCGTATGTTTCGAGGATCTGTTTGCCCTTTTCTTTTCTTCTTATCAAAATGGTGTTTTCTGTAAGGCTGCAGAACGCTATGCTCCAATCTACAACAAATTAGCTCAAGTTGTCTACTGACACTCATTCAAATGGACCATGTTTTGTCGACCGTAAACCTGAAAAGTGGACTCTCCATGGCAAACTCTTGGTGGCGCACTGCATTGTGAATCGCCCGAATTAATCGCCGAATCTGTTCGCATACCATCAACCCTTGCTGTGCAAGGGGATATTCAAATACTAGGAATCATCATCAATTCTCAATTTTCTAATTGCCACGATGTAAAAATTTGATTCAGCCTCAAAAATCCTCCAAAATCATCAGTTATTTCTTGGATGTGCCAAGTCGAGGGGTGACCACTGGCTCAAATCTTTTTCATCCTCCAACAATCAACTCTGTAAAATGTTAAGGCAGTGCCGAAGATAACCAGAAGCAGCACAGGTAATGTCCAGTACAATCTCGGCCTCAATCATGTCAATTATGCAATATACAACCTCAATACAATGCATCCTCTAAAATCAACCGACACTTTCTGCCATTCAGCCTCAATCCTCCAAAATCTTCCAAACCACCAGGCCTGGTTGATTTGGGAGGATTGAAGAGGATTAGGGTTAATAATAATAATGGAGTCTTATATAGTGCACGTATCTACCAACAATTAGGTACTCAAGGCACTGGTTATTATGTCTATTATTAAAGAAAGGTAAATAAAGTATATGAGAAATATGAGACCCATTAATAGCTTGTGGGAAGTAATAGAATATTTTTTTATGCAATCTTTGAATTGCACTTTTGTTTATCCCATTTAAGTTTATTTTCAATTGTCGTACAACCATTTTTAAAGGTGTTTTCGCATCTGTGACTTTTATGCTTATGAAAATTAACATATTAATGATCAAAACTGTGATGTCATTCAAGGCAGTAACAGCAGGGGCCAATTTCACGGCGCTGCTAAGCACAAAAATTTGCTTAGCAACAAAAAACTCTGGCTCATAAAAGCAGGTTATCAGCCATAACTCCACATGATGTATATTGCTTGTGACTAATATTCAGCTGTTGTTTGCTTAGCATGAAAATCTCATGGAGTTTTGGCTGATAACCTGCTTTTATAAGCCAGACTTTTTTTGTGGTAAGCACATTTTTGTGCTTAGCAGCGCCGTGAAATTGGGCACAGGTCTTCAGCATCAAAAGTCATCAGAATTTTTGGGTGTTTTTTAACATTGGTAATTTTTTTTTTTTGCAATTGTTGTTCAAGTAAGTCCATGAACTTTAATTTAATGCACAAAAAGGAGCAAATTTTATAGCCAAAACCTCCGAGTTTAAGAGTTTGTGCCTTAAATGACATCACAGCAACAGCGCCCTCAATTGTCCGACACAAAGAGAGACGTCTCATGATCTTCGTACATTTCAGAGAAAGGGAAAGTTGCACACATTTTGTTCCAGTATACACGGCCCTTATAACATTATACATTAACCCTAACCTTCCCAAATCCATCCAAATCCATCCCCCCATTTTGGGGATTGTGGTAGGCAAGCCATGAGTACCAAGTCCATCAAAATACACCTATAGTACTGGTGGTCTTGTGGTGGATTTCAGTCGATTAGGTCGACAATTAATTGAAGCAGGGTCAGTAATGGATTTTGGCGGACTTGGTCCAGTACTTAGAAAAAGACACTAAGGAGTTAAGGTTAACAGCGTCTTAAAGATAACCCTATGAGTCAACGGATATTTTTATTGCTCGCGAAAAAAATGATACAAAAATAGCCTATTACTAGCTATTTATAAACAGGGCAGGGTACTTACTTTTATTCCATTTTGTTCAGCTAATGGCCCCGCATTCTTGTTAATAGCAACCTCCCACGCCAAAGGACCAATAGCAGCCTGCGTTACAAAAATGTGTACACAATTGTTTTGTTTCATGAGGTAAAAACGTTCGATATAAAGACTGATACATTGCGTTATGATAGGGCAAGTACAAAACTTTGCACACAGTAAGACCCACACATAAATAAAGTTTAACCCTCAAAAGATTTTCATGGATTTCAGTATTATTAAAGAGGTTGTGGAATGCTCGAAGACATTTCCGTCATTTTTTGGGTATATGTAGCCTAAGGTGTGATGAAATAAAAACGATTATTGTGTCTGTCAAGAAATGAGTACAAAAAGGTACTTTTGAGAGCTGTTTTTCAGGTCCTGTTTCGACCCGAACGTGCAATTTGTGTAAAAGTCGTCGTTGGGGGCAGCAAACAAAACATAGTAAATCGTGATGTAATAAACAGGACTCGTTTATACTACGCTGCATCGGGAGTCCTGTTTATTACGTCACGATTTAGTATGTTTTGTTTGCTGCCCCAACAACGACTTTTACACAAATTGCACGTTTGGGTCGAAACAGGACCTGAAAAGCAACTCTCAAAAGTACCTTTTGTACTCATTTCATGACAGACACAATAGTCGTTGTTATTTCATCACACCTTAGGCTACATATACCCAAAAAATGACGGAAATGTCTTCGCGCATTCCACAACCTCTTTAAATTCTGACAGGAGTTTCTGTATGTCACTTCGTGGTCGGTCGGTCAGTCAGTCTGTCCCCGGGTAATGGACCAAAAACGAGCTCTCTAAGTTTCCCATGAAAAAAACAACCTACCAATGAACCGAAAATTGACCAAATGCAATGCTGATGTAAATAAATACAATGCTGTTGTTAGTAAATGCAATGCTGTTGTAAGTAAATGCACTCTTGGCGAAAGGTTTCGGAACACGCCCCTTTGTCTGGATCGATGCGCATGCACGTCTATTTTGCATATGAAGTGAGGCATTCCAGAACTGCAGCTAAAATACTATACAAATAATGAATGTTTGTGAGTGCAATGGTAAGAATAATTTCATGAGGTGACGGATGAAATGTTCCATTCCAAGAGGCGAAGCCGAGTGGAATGGAACATTTCATCTGTCACCCAATGAAATTATTCTTTCCATTGCATGAACGTGAAACATTCATTATTTGTTTTATATAACACCTGAATAAATCCTCGTCATCTGATTGGTTGACTTATAAATAGCCAATTTATTCAGGTTAAAAACTGTTTGAAAGTTTGACAAGGAAGTTCATCATATTTAATTTATGCAAACTGTTCAACAGGTCGAGAACCATCATATTCAAGTAATCTTGATTTAAAACAGCGCCACTGCCAGCAGCAATGACACCACGCAATGGAAGTTCTATTCACCATGCAACGGAACTTCCATTGCACTGTGCGCTGCGCGCCGCGCGTTGGGACGAATAATTCAATAACATGTGATCAATGATCCACCAATCAGATGACGGGGATTTATTCAGGTGTTGTATAAAACAAAATTAGCAGCTGAAATACAGAACTGGCTTATTCAATATGATTTCGTGCACTCTGGGACCAGCTTTACTTGGACGAACCCACAAAGATGAACATGGAATCCATTCTAAATACACTATTCTTATAGAAAAAAATATGAATGCCGAAACTTCTCTCCAAAATCTCAAAAGTTGTTGTGAACACACTGCACACCATACCTGAACTGTTGCCTTTGGTAGCCAAGCGAGGGCAGCAAACACTTTAGCTTTGATGGTCAGTCCCGCTTTACACACTACCAGATATGTGACAATGGTCCGTATGATGAGACCTATCACCATGATAGCAATCCCATAACCTGGAAACAGAATTTTACACAGCTATTAAAGATATACAGGATCGTTTGCTTTTTGTGCATTTTTTTGGGTCATTAGCGGCTACAAAATTGCTCATAATCTTAAGAATCCTTATGGAATGGGCCCCTTTTTATATTAATTTTGATGGTTAAAGTAATGTACAGCTGGGTTGCCATTAGTTTTACAAGGTACATGTACTACTAGTTTTAAGAACAAAGCCGGTGCATTTTTTTTACAACGCAGCATTTATTTTTGTAGATTGGAGCCTTTGTTAAATTTTTTTTTAATAATAACAAAGTTGGAACTGAACTTGTTCTCAATACATGGTACAACGGAAACATGATTACGATACTGGTTGAAAAATATGATAAGAGACCAAATTTTACAGTTAATATAAACAAAAATCATTCACAAACTTGGATTTTTTGCTCATTTTGGATGCAGTGTCCCTAGAGAAAGGGACAATGATCACAGATTCAGTGGATTCTGATAATTTTGCCTGAAAGTTGCGGCGTACAGGCATACAAGCACACACATGTATGGTGCCAATATGTTATTTATTATGGTGCCATTATGTTAAATGTTATTTTCTTTTCAACAAATTAATACATTTATTTTCTCTATTTCGGAATACTGAGACTCACCAACTGTGTTCCCGTCCAAGTATTCAACTGACACCGCAGCACCGATGATACCAAACAGAATTGGTTCAAACAGCGTCCATATGACGCCTACAATCTTATTGACAGGCTCCTGAAACACAAACACCACAAAAACAACACTTTTCATCTTAAAGTCTTAAGCTGTGTTCGCAATGGACTTATTTCGGTTAAATTAACACAGGTTGTTGTCAACTTTAACGAGACCGTTGTCATCTTAACCAAGTTAAGTCCAGTGTGAACAGCCAGCAAACTACCCAAAATTGTCAAGTGTCGACTGATACTTTTACAGTCCGCAGCGGTTAGTTTTACAGAGCCAACTGGGTCGTGGAAGAATGACATTGTTAGTTTTACATCACTGAAAAGTCCAGTGCGGCCGGCCACTGCTACGTAAAACCTAACGTTGTGATCATGTGACTTCCGTGTGGGTCACTTATATAGATCTCCGTAATTCACACGCATACATGTAGGCCTATGTACGGTTCGGAGATTCAGCCATATTTCTGCTGTATGTTTTAGCTTGTTATTCTCAAATGTCAATAGTAGGGTGCCCTCATAGGATTCTGAGAGAGAACGGTGTACGGTAAAGTTTACGCAACGAATGACTTTCCGCGGGCCGAAAATTATCCAAGTGTGGATGCACGGTAGACTAACCACAATGGAATGTTAACAAGCACCAGCGGTAACTTTTCACAAAATTAAGTCCAATGCGAACGCAGCTTTATTGAATATATCTTAATTCCTGTGCACGATGACACAAGCTGGATCATATTTAGCATGTTTGATACATTACAGGGTGAGTAACAAAAAACAAAACCCAAATGTCGGAACCCTTGTTTCAGTGAAGTTCTGCGTGTAGCACTTTCAAAATCTGGGATACGAAAGCCCAATTCATAAGTGTTCTTTAAGCAAAACGAAAACAAATCACATAGGGATGTGGCTGAATTGTTTTTGTTTTGCTGAAAGAATGCCCACCTTTTTTGTGATCCGTGGACAGAACTTTAAAACGGTGGTGGTGTTTAAAATTCTGTAATTTGAAAAGTACATAAGTGATTTGAATGATTCTGGTACTAAAAGAAAGCTTACGAATTGGGCTTTCATATCCTAGATTTTGAAAGTGCTACATGCAGAACTTCACTAAAACAATAGTCCCAGCATTTGGTTTTTTTTTCTTTTTACTCGCCCTGTATCTGCTCTGTTCACAAGCACCCCCTCACCGGCAAAGGAAGTACAGTTGGGGGTGACCGACTGATGCCATCTTGCCTGACTGCAATTCATTTGCTGCGAAGCGCGGCCACTGCGTGTAAATAGAACAAATCCCCTGGCGTACGTGCGTCACACACAAGGAACGGTGCGCGTCAACCAGTGAAATGTCCCGCCCATGGGGCGTTGTTGTCAGGTAAAAGGGCGCCCTCTTTTGTTTTGGTAGCGCACGGAGCTCATAGATGGAGAACTTTTATCTTTAACAAATTGTGATGTGCGCACACAAAGTTTAAGCAACGTATTGGCTCATCGACAAACGTTGACTTTTTTTTTTACCTTAGATCTCCCCCAACCCTGGGCAGCTACAAACGGTAGGATGAGGCATCCCATAGCCCCGGCACCGGTGAACTCAGCTTGGGCAAAACCAAACAACGACAACAGGCCTCCGCCGCAGACTAGTAAGGCACGCTTCCAAGTCAGAGATTTCTGGGGAAAAATAAGCAAAAAAATATCAAGATTGAATGATTAAAACTGAGAGGTCGAGTTTTACGCAATGCATTCAATATGTTGCTAACCAGTTCGCGCTGGATGCCGTGTATACACGCAAAGGCTTGGCAGCATTCGGAACGGATGACAGACAAACACGCAGGGAGCGAGGCCGGAAATATCTGTCAGCGACCCGCTCGCAGCGAGCGAGGCCGGACATACGAGTGTGCTGCCCGAGGGTGATGGCTTCAACCCGCCTGGCTTGAGGTGAAGTGAAAATTAATCCAGCGCCTCGTTCTGTTCTTGTCAAAATAATCCCGGCGCGAACTGGTTTAATGTAATGCTTTTTTTGTCTTTCACAGAATCAAATTATTGCCCTTGATTGGATGGGCCCAGGCAGGACACAAAACAAATGCCAAAAATACGACGTTACACATGTAGCTCCTTTAGGCTGATCCGAATTGCCCACTTTTTGTGATTACTTGGCTGGTTTTCCACCATTACTGGGACACTCCAAAGCACACAATGCACTCCCTTTTAGTGACATGTTCAGAGTTCGCACGTGTGATGGGCGTACAGGCATGGAAGCGCCCTGGAAATGGCTACCAGAACCATCACCATAATTTCTAGGGCTGCCCTTAAAACTTGAATATTCAATCAACCAAATATTCTAATAGCTTTTTGATGGTTTGAATATTAAAAAAACCCTAAAAACTACACACAAACACCAACTGTGATGTTATTTCATCATAAATAATGCGCTTTATTTGTCAGGTGCCACTGTTTTGTCAGAGGTAACTTTTTTTGTTGATGGTGGTTCATTGTTCACATCCTTTATAGGAGGTTAAAGCCCTTTATACCGGTAGTTATAAAATCCTTACTGCAAAACACTGAAGTGCCCGATTTCGATCGCCCCACGCAAACTTTAACTGGCGTTCTGTTCGTGTGAATATTTACTGGCGCAGCACGCAATTGCAGCTGGCAGTTTCGAATATCCGAATATTCGGTCAAACGCAGTTTCAAGTAATCGAATACTAAATTATTCAAAACTGGACAGCCCTGATAATTTCAACATCGAATTGGTGTATACGATGCGCCTGGAAGTACTGTTTCCCCATAAAGTCACTGATTTTGACGTCAACTTGCACGTTCAATGGACCATTATCATGTTTCGGCCATCTTGAGTTTTTCCCATTCAAATCAACGTAACCAAAGCGAGGCTGGAAGGAAAAATAGTCTGGTTCCTTTTTGCACAAGAAGCATTATCATTCAGTACTGTTATTGGATACAGGGAACATGACTGAAATGGTGGCAGCATGATAAAGGTCTATACCATTTCAATAGTGATTTTTAAACCCTAGTGTGATTTTCTCAGCATACCCAAATAAATGTTTACCTGGTTCTTGTTAGGGATGTACCACAGAAAAATGCCCCCTAGGCAACCGAAGGCCACGCCCATCAACAGCTCAATGGGTGCTCTGAATATATCGAACACCAATGCACCAGCACCTATGGGAAAGTTTACAAAACAAAACAATTATTAGGTGGAGTTTTCAAGAAAAAAAAATATTTGCAATTTTTTTTTTTTAGCTAGACCAGTTTTTCCGAGGTTTACATAACTGAACAGATAAATTTTCTTTTGTACTACCCACATTAAATAGCGTCCATCTATTGTGTTCATCGTATCTCAAAACAAGCTAATGGACCACGACAAAACTGCCGTTGAAAAATCTTTCCACTTACCATCGTTTGAACTATCCAGCGAGGTGTCATAGGGAGGGTTCGTTCCGTTATATGTTGCGTTCCCGGATTCCTGATCAAAGTCACTGGCTAACTTGTCTGTGAATTGCAAAAAAAACCGGAGCAAAACATTAGCATTCCGAGAAATCTTCTCCCTTTATTCCACGTTATGCCCCAAACTGCCCTGCCTGTGTCTCCTGCCATACCCAACAGCCAAATGCACCCAATTTTTTTTCTGGATTCATCAGGATACGAGGGAGTTTTCAACGTCTGGTTTAAAACCAGTATGGGGATAGATAGCCGATAATCAACTAAGGTACTAAGGCCGATTTATATTTTGCGCGAATGCGAATGCGAATGCAAAGCAAGAATGTTGTCAAGAAACATTCCTGACAAAATTCCCCACATTTTAACTACGTTAACGTTTCCAAAATTTGCATCATGGATGTAACATGTAAGTACACATGTGTGACCCTTGACATACATATATACTTCTGGTCAGGCCAGAAGTATGGTCAGACATCAGACCACATCAGACCACCTCCCACTGTCCAATGAGAACCCATTGTAATACGACTCCTTTAAGACAACACCCAATATTCTGTGCTGTCTCCTGTATGTATTCGTCACTTGGTTATGAACACTCAATAAAACAACACTGAGATCTTAATGCCGTGTCCAAGATCTTACAATGGATACTTGTGATGTCACAAAATTTGCATTCGCGTTACTTTCAGGAGCCAAGCATGAAATTGAATCGGGGCCTGACCATGCTATAGGGCTCTCTCACTGACCCACGTGACCCAGCCAAACATTCGGGTACCGGAAGGTCAGCGTCGCCATTGTAGTAGGCAAAGATCGTATAGCGCCGCGCGCTGTAGGTAGTAGGCAAGCCTTCAAGGCTGTGATGGATGGCAAAAACTGTGAGAAAAAACGCGGAGCCAACACAGAGTGCTGGGACGGCACGATTATCACAAACGTACACGGCACAGGTGGTGACCATTATGCCATTTGATAAGAATTGGTGGTAATTTAATGTGAAAATAAGCCGTACTGTCTAGCTTACAATGCACGACGTGGTTGCGAACCAAACGCTTGCCTACTGCAATGGTGACCAATCACAGGGGAACCGAATGGTCATATTGTACCTTAACGTAATACAATCGGAACTTACAGGTTTTTTCCCCTCAAACTTACCCGATGAGAAGGCTATACCGAGAGCGACCCCAAACGCCGCGATGGCAAAGACGTTTTCGCAGCTGGCCGAGGCGACAAGCAGCGTAGGGACACCACGGCGGACACCGTAACCTTTCTCCTGGAGCTCGAGGACGGATGGCACCACAACGGCCGGAGAGACTGCCGCTATGACAAAGCTGGACAAGAGATGAAAGTAAAAAGTAAGGTCTGTACACGAACAACATGGGGAAATCTGGCCAGCTTTCATCTCTCGTGTCAGTGGCATAAAAAAGACTTCTACATAAGGTCAGTAAAAAAAAGTCACGAGCCAATGTGGCCGATCAGGCTGGCTATTATCTCCGGTTTCAGCGGAATGAAACGACTGAGAATATTTCTATTCCCCCTGAATGGGTTGCCAGTCCATCACAGGTTACTCCCCAGCTAATGCTGGTACCCATTTATACTCCTGGGTGGAGAGAGTCCAGTAGGGGTGAAGCGGCTTGCCCAAGGACACAACATATGACCAGCAGCTGGATTCAAACCCCTTAAACCATTGCTATGACGTCACACTATTGTTAAAAGTGTGGATTCGGATCTAAGAATCTCTTACACTGGTCACAAAGTGTGGATTCGGAACGAAGAATCTTTAGTAAAGTGTGGATTCGGAATTACGAATCCACACTTTGAACATGTCGGACAATTGTTCCCCATAATGAGCCTGAATAGGACCGTCTGCGTGAAAATTTGTTTTCCGAAAATTACCAATGCATCTTCACTGTCACATTCGCCGCCGTCACTGCAAAAACTACTTTAAATCAGAAAGAAATCGTCGTCTGAACTATCCATTTTTCGTAAGGAGCCTATACACACAAAATGGCTTGGTTGTACGGGTGTGGCGATACACATGCTAAACATGCCAGGGACAAATGTTGCAACCTGACGCCACTTCCGCGCTTGTGTACGAAGTCTATGGAGAGTCATTTCAAGTATTTCCTAACAAAATTTGAAACATTTCTCAGTCCCAGATTCATGTCTTATCATCATTTTTGCAACGAATGACCTTCATTGAGATGATATATGAAGCAAAAAGTGGCGTCAGGTTGCAACATTCTTTCCAATACTTCTGTTGACGCAGTGGTTTAAGTCGAAGAATACACTCGCAAGTGTGGATTCTTAATTTACGAATTCACTCGGCGCTTCGCGCCTCGTGAATTCTTAAATTACGAATCCACACTTTCTCATGTATTCTCCTTAACTGAGCCCCTGATCATAAGTCACAAACCCTAACCACTAGGCCACGCTACCCCAGTCAAGAGATACACAAAGTATATTATCCTTCTTATTTAGTAAGCCTCAACTGAACAAAGTAGAATTACAAAACCAAAATGGCAGTTTAATAATAGCTGAATTGACCAAACATGTTGTGCCTGACAGTATTTTTTTCAGAAAAGTCCGAAATCTAGACGTTTCCCTACTTAATATTTACTATGAAATCTACTTACCTGGTTATTAACCAGGAAAAATCAAAATCTAGTTATCCTGTAATTTTAAGGGGAAATTCAGAGATATTTTGTCGAAAAAACTGCAGGATTTTTACAGGATAACAAAAATTTTGAAATGTAGATGCTCTGTGGTGCACTGACAGCCTCCTCGGCCAACTATTGGTCGAAAATGTTTTGCAATTTATGCATGTTTTTAAGTTAACTTTTCCTTCATATTCTGCTAAAAAGCAGAGATTTCACACCCCTGTATTAAGCCACATGTATGGGGCTTAACTCACCCAAGCATGAATGCCCAATCCCAACTGAAACCCAACAGCGCGTGCGACATGATGGCGATAATGATGGCCTCCGAGACGCACGGCACCGTGGACAGACGAGCGCAGACCAGGCTGAGTCTGCGTAGAGCCGCCGCGTCGATCCCAAGCCCCGCTTTGATTAGGATGACCGCGAGGGCGATGTTGCGCAGTGCCGAGGCCCAGCCCGGGTGGATGTCGTCGGCGATTTGGATGCCCGGGACGTTCTTGAATATGAAGCCAACAAGCAGCATGCCTAAACAAGAAAATTATGAAAAAAATATGATCTTGAAAGTAACAGATGAACTTGATTGGTGAATTCTCGACAAAAATTCAATGTTTTTAAGTTTAAATGTTAAATACATCAATGTCTGCATGGAACCAGAATTTTTATAAATAAGACCTGATATGCATACATAATCTGCCTTCCAGTTTTATTTTACAATGAATCAAGAACGCTTGTGATTATCAAAGTAAAGATACTTGATCACAGCCTTGGAAGTTATTTACACATTTTTTGAAGATCAGCAACTGCATGTATCTTTCAAGTGAATCCAAAACATTGTAAACAATTTATTGTAATCTTGTTGATGTTAAATGTGGCTTCCCATCCTAGCTATTGACGAGTGGGTAGCGAATCGGTCATTTCGCCCTGTCAAAAAAGTCTGTACGATCGTTTGCTTTTTTTTTTGCGTTTTCTTCAGTTGTAGCAACAAAATTGCTCAAAATCTTTTAAGCAGGGTGCATAACAACTATTCTGTTGAAATGTCAGCAACAGTACATTTTGGGGAAAACAGAAAAAATATGTGCACAATTTTTTGGGTCTCGAACTGGATTCCGTTGCTAATGCGCACAAAAAAGGTGTGCCTGCAGGCACACTATTTTAAAACCACTTTCTAAGATTTTCTGATACAAACGATACCATTTCAGGCAGAATAACTTCACGGGAATTTGATACCAGTCCCATCTTCACTTTGAGCAAGATTTCTGTCTTTAAATTGGTATTTACTTTTCTGTTGCTTGCAAATGTTCTACGTGGCTTTAACAACATTTACTTACCCAACAGAGCCGGAAGATGAATCAATTCGATGAGTTTACCGCCAACGGCTGCCACCACCACCAGAACATAGATAGCGAACAGGTTACCCCCGGGCAACGCTTCTGGTCCGGTGATAGACCACAGTATTGCCCACAGCAGCACGACGATTGTAACATTCAGGACGATTTTGGCGACGAGTCCGTGAGGCGGGCACAAGAAGGCATACTTGAGCCGGGCGCGCCGGGACGGGCTTTCCGGAAGCTGGTTGTGTTTGGCGACCAAGGGCCGGCACGCCATCTTGCATCGATCTCTGAGCCCGCGGCAGCACTGGGGTTCCCTCTCCTCCGGGTAGCCATGCTGGACGTGGTTCAGGGGAACCTCGGTGTTGATAACGGCGAAGCTTCCGTGCTCGTCCACCCCCATCGGCAAGCCATGCCACGGTGCTGTCTCACCCTCATCATCATCTGCCTCGTTCAGGGTGTCATTTCTGCCCCCTTCTAAGGGAATGCTCGTGTCCGGTGTACTATTCATAGTAGTGGTGTTGGGGGTTGCGTATTGGCTGTTCTCATCCTGGAGGGTGGAATAGTCGTCCGGCTTGGCTACCTCCAAGTCTGTGGTGTTCGCCGTCTTGTAGGATGTTGAGACGACGTTGCCTCCCATGGTGGTCGAGCTGTTTGCAACCTTTTTTGTTTGAGTTCACCCCGCTCTCTGTGAGTTACAACAAGAGTGAAAAGATAACAGCTGTTATTATCTTTAAAGAATGTGATTGTTGGGTGTGATTTGTGGATTTGCACTATCGCTCGGACACGCAGAAGTGCATTTGTAAACTTCTGAGGCTGAGAAACGTTTCTCATTTTGTTTCAGGATACTACATTCGAGAAAAAAAAAGAAGTTTGCACAGCGAAGTGTTTTTAGGTGTTTGGTGTGTCCAAACTTTTGTGCGAACAAAAATTTCCATCTCTTTTTGATTGCACGAAAAAGTTGCACAAAATACAGATTTGGTTACCACATCCATGACATCCCCCATACTTTTACTAATTTTTTTTTTTTCGGGATAAAAGCTGTAGAGAAATTGTGTGCATTTCTCTACAGCGTTTATCCCGAGAAAAAAAATTTGTCCAATCTTGTTGTACACCAGATTACCGAACTTTGAAAGAATGTTGCAACCTGACGCTGCTTTTTTTATCTCAATGAAGGTCAGTCACATTGCAAAAATGTTGAAAAGACATGAATCTGAGACTCGACTGAGAAACATTTCAAATTTTGTTAGGAAATACTTAGAAAATTGTCTTGACTCTCCCAGATTTTGTACACAACTACTGAAGTAACATCAGGTTGCAACAGTCTTTCCCCAAACTCGATTATGAGAAATCCATTGGGGTTTTTTCTGAGATCTTTCAACAGTCATGACATTAACAGTGGTGACCAGGTGACAGTGTTCAACTTCAATACAACTTACAAGTTACAACATGTTCAATTTTCAAATGAATTTTCATTTCAGCAAATATTACATTTTTATCTATTGGAGTAAGTAGCTTCATAAATTATTACCAAGGACCAGTATCAGTAATCACAGTCAACAGTTCACAAGATGAAATGACGAACTAGAAAGATCTTAAAATATCTTTGAAATTGGAACAAATTCCGCAATCAGAATCTTCACTTACTTGACTTGTTGCAGAAGCGCCCTCTCTTGGTATAGGAATAGTCAAAAGAGCGCCCTCTCTTAGTTGAAAGTATTGACACGGGGCCTTTTTCGAAATTCCGGCTTCATATAATTTCGGCTTCAGGAAAATCTAAGCCCCGAGTTGGATCCTTGGGCCTGCGTTTATCGATTAAAATGTTTAAATTGTGCACAATTGTTTTGAATTTGTGTAAATGTGTCTCAAATATACCGGACTTCGTGAGCCATATATCCAACATCTGGCAATCATAAGGCATGGTGCTAAATTTGAATGCGTGCTTGAATTTTACATCTAAACTGTTCCCCACTTGTTTCAAAAAAAGGGGGGGGGAGCCCAAATTTTCCACCTTTAGAGGTCTACTTATACGGCAAATTCAATACTTGTGCATATGCCCAAAATTAGTATCTTAGATGAGCGCTAACCTTTCAATTATTATTTTTGCCCGAAACATTAACCAGGGAGGGGTGGGGGGGGGGATGGGGTGGAGGCAGGGGGACACTTAAATGTCTTCCCAATCCTCGTTATGGAGCTATCAAGAAAAGGCTCCAGATTTAATTAAAATGGAAGCACCCACTGTTTTTTTTTTTTAGGGGGGGGGGGGTTATCGATATGCTCAACTGGCAGTCAAAAGTGGACTTGCTCTGTGTCTGAATGTGGATTTGACAGCGCCCTCTATTAATTTCTAGGTTTTTTTCGGTCGAGTTAAGGAAAATTAAAGCGCCCTCTTTTGATTTATGACGGACAAAAGTAAGTTTCGGACAAAGCTTAGGCTTGGTGGTCATCAATTGTAAAAGAATGTTAAAATAATGGAGGAAATTATTAGGATCCAAACTACAAGCACTTCGAAATAGCACTCGGGGAGCAGATCAGCCTAAGCATCTGAATGGTGTTCACTTGTTTAGGGGATAGGAGGATTTTTGTTTTATTGATTTGAAGCTTTGCAGGGTGGGAAGTTACAACAAAGGGTAGGTCTTGGTACACAGAGTGATGGAATCTCTCTTTTTTGAAGAAGTTTGGTTCTGAAAAGAACCGGGTTGAGAATTGTTCTCGACGGTTCGGACAGTATGCTCTGTCCGCTCCTCTGCTTCAGCTGGTAGGGGTGGGGCGAGCTGGCCCGTGCTCAAGCAGGGAAAGAGCCTCTTCATCTTCACAAAGTCATCGAGGTATGCCAGGCTCCATCTTCTAAAAAAAAAATCAAAAACAAAAGGGAAAGGAAACTTTAGAATCAGGATTGACAATATTATGAAATTTATTCCAGGATGGAGAGATTTAAACAGAAGAGGAACACATAAGCCTTGAATTTGGTGTTCTGTTTCTTAAAACGTACCTCGGGAAAATGGGAAGCTCAGCGAGCAGGGTCGTCATTCATCGGTCGGTCCTCCACCCTGCTTCCAGGTTTCATCTGTGATGATGGTTTGGGGCGTCTCCAAGTCTTTATCAATCCAGTCAATACTCCTACAATATCAAAGAGATAAGGAGAACAAAACATTAGAATTAGTTATCTTAAAGGGCACTTATTGGAAGCAGCAAAATACCACAAGATGAATTACAGATTAATCATTACAATGAAAATCATCTTCCTTTTTTATTTTCTTTTGGTGAAAAAACTAACCTTGAGATTCAGAAATGGGTTGCCCGGCAAGCAGGGTCATCTGTTCATCCGTCGGTCCTCCTCCCTGCTTCCGGTTCCTCGGAGGGGTTCGTTTTCATCTTGACAAAGCAGCCTCTCCTCATCCAGTCAGTCTTAGGCTTGTAGATCTTCGTCATCCTCTCGGTTAAGTGAGCTAGGGAGAAATAAAACTTGACCCAGCCTAAAGCAAGGTTATTGTTTCCTGTAGTATTGATGGTTAAAACAGACTTACTTTTTAAAATACAATCCAGCAAAAATGTTTTGAAGAAAGTGCCGATCGTTTCAGATGGATCGGGCTTACGAGTCTGAAGGCAACATGGTGTCGGAAGTGTCCGTGCCGATCGTTGTAGATCGGACTTGGTATGAAAAAAATGTCGAACCAGTAAATTACAGGGCTGTAAGCACTACGTTGCCGATAATTATCAGCTATCGGACTTACATTTTAAAAACCAGGATGCAACGATCATCGTCGAGGGTCAAAGACATGTCCACGCCAATCTTGCAGATTGGACTTACTTATCCAACTAATACTGATCAACGATTTCGACGAAGAAACAGTTTATAATCATTCTCTTTCAAGTATATTTCTTCCACCACTGTTTATTTACCCCACAAATATAATTTTCGTCGAAGATTTCGTGTTTCTTCTCGCTTATTTTATTTTATTTTTTTTTTGGGGGGGGGGGGGGGAATAACACTAATTTTAAGTACTTTTATCTTTCCGTTGAGATCCTCGTCGTTTTCGTTGCTGAATTTTTCGAGTGGGAATCGAAATCCATTTGTTTCGTATCATTTTACTACTTGCATCGAATATCATTTTGCTTCAATTTCATTTCGTTTTGAATCAATTCATTTTTTTAAGGGAGTGAGAAAAATAACACTGATTTCAAATATTATTCTTTTCATCACCGCTTTGATATTTGCCGTAATTTTCATTTTCGTCGCAGGTTTTTGTTTCAGTTTCTTTTGCGGTTTTGGGTAAAAACTTTCCCTTAATTGATGCAATTCTTGTTATTTTTTGTGGCCGGATTATTCGATTTTCAATGAGGAATCGCGATCGATTTATTTGCATTGATTCGCATCTAATCGAATGAGTTTCGTTCCAATTTTGTTTCATTTTGTATCGTTTCGTTGCTTCCTTTTAAGGGTGGGTGAGAAAAATAACACCGATTTCAAATATTATTCTTCTCACCATCGCTTTGATATTTGCCATAATTACCATTTTCCTCGCAGGTTTTCGTTTCATTTTCTTTTGCGGTTTTGGGGGAAAAACTTTCCCTTGATTGATGCGATCTTTGTCAATTTCGTGGCCGAATTTTTCGATTTTCGATGAGGAATCGTGATTGATTTATTTTGTATGATTCGTATCTCATCGAATGAGTTTCGTTCAATTTTGTTTCATTTTTATCGTTTCGTTTCTTTTAAAGGTGGTTGAAAAAAATATCACTGATTTCAAATAATCCGCTTCTCACCACCGCTTTCACATTTGCCGTTATGTTTTATTTTTCGACGCAGTTTTTCGTTCATTTCGTTTTGCAATTGTGGAAGAAATAACACTAATTTCAAGTATCATTTCTTTCCGTTGAGTTGATGCGATCCTCGTCATTTGCGTGTCCGACATTTTTCAAGGAGGAAACGCGATTGAGTTGTTTCGTATCGTATCGAATGTCATTTGGTTTTAAACCTTCGTTTTATTTCTTACAATTTCGTTAAATTTTGGGCAAAACAACACATATTTCAAGGCCTATTAATTCTCTCACCATCGCTTTGATTTATGCCGTATTTTTCATATTCGTCGCAAATGTTTTCGCTTCATTTATTGTTCTGGGGAAAATAACACTGATTTGATCTCGTCAGTTTTCCGGCGACCGCGTGTTTTGCGGAGAAATCGAATTTCACTTGTTTTGTATCATTTCGTATATCATTCTTAATCTATTTTTTTCTTTCGTATAATTTCGTTTCTTATTTTAGTTGATGAACAAAATTACACCTGAGTGACCTGAAACATTTTGCTTACCACCGTTGTATTTTTTCTCCGTTATTTTCATTTTCGCCTTCGGCTTTTTTTGGTTTCATTTCCGGCGGTTTTGCGAAAAAGAATAACACTGATTTCAAGAATTATTTCTTTCTGTACCAAGAGATTGCATTCACTCTCGCATCGTATCGTAACGTAACACATCGTATCGTATGTCAGAAACCTTTGAGAAAAGAATAACACTGATTTCAAGTATTATATCTTTCTCTACCAAGAGATTGAGTGCTCTCACATCGTATCGTAAGTCATAACGTCGTAACGTAACACATCCTGTCGTAACGTAACACATCGTATCGTAAGTCAAAAACCTTTGAGAAAAGAATAACACTGGCGTCAAGTATTATTTCTTTCTCTACCAAGCGATTGCGTTAACTCTCGCATCGTGCCGCATCGTATCGTATCGTATCGTAACACATCATATCGTAAGTCACAAACTTTTGAGAAAAGAATAACACTGGCGTCAAGTATTATTTCTTTCTCTACCAAGCGATTGCGTTCACTCTCGCATCGTGTCGCATCGTATCGTAACGTAACACGTCGTATTGTATGTCATACGCCTTTGAGAAAAGAATAACACTGATTTCAAGTATTATTTCTTTCTCTAGACCTACCAAGCGATTGCGTTCACTCTTGCATCGTGTCGCATCGTATAGTATCGTAACGTAACACATCATATCGTAAGTCACAAACTTTTGAGAAAAGAATAACACTGATTTCAAGTATTATTTCTTTCTCTACCAAGATAATGAGTGCTCTTGCATCGTATCGTAACGTGTTGTAACGTAACACATTGTATCGTTTGTCATACACCTTTGAGAAAAGAATAACACTGGCGTCAAGTATTATTTCTTTCTCTACCAAGCGATTGCGTTCACTCTCGCACTCGTAACGTGTCGTTACGTAACACATCGTATCGTAGGTCAGAAACCTTTGAGAAAAGAAAAACACTGGCGTCAAGTATTATTTCTTTTTCTGCCAAGCGATTGCGTTCACTCTCGCACTCGTAACGTGTTGTAACGTAACACATTGTATCGTTTGTCATACACCTTTGAGAAAAGAATAACACTGGCGTCAAGTATTATTTCTTTCTCTACCAAGCGATTGCGTTCACTCTCGCACTCGTAACGTGTCGTTACGTAACACATCGTATCGTAGGTCAGAAACCTTTGAGAAAAGAATAACACTGGCGTCAAGTATTATTTCTTTTTCTGCCAAGCGATTGCGTTCACTCTCGCACTCGTAACGTGTTGTAACGTAACACATCGTATCGTAGGTCAGAAACCTTTGAGAAAAGAATAACACTGGCGTCAAGTATTATTTCTCTCTCTACCAAGCGATTGCATTCACTCTCGCATC